AGCCGATCAAGGCTCATGCGCATGTTTGAGATAGTTGAGAAGCATCTTCAAAAAAAAAATCATCAAACATTTGAAGAATTCAAGATCAGAGATTGGAACTTCAAGCTTTCAAAATCAAGAGTCAACAACGACAGGCCACCGGAGATCGAGATTACTCTCCAGAGCTCAGAATAACATATGTTTCATACGCATTTTAGGCATACCTAAGAGCATGACATCCATAACATCACATATATGCATATCTTTGCAGGTTTTACCCATAGCCAATTTCAACTTCACAACGAAGGATATTGGACTCCAGACAACGCAAGTTCAACTTCACGACGAAGGGACCGCTGGTTGTCAACAAACATTTCTCAGATTCAGAGTCAATTTCAACTTCACAACGAAGGATATTGGACTCCAGACAACGCAAGTTCAACTTCACGACGAAGGGACCGCTGGTTGTCAACAAACATTTCTCAGATTCAGAGTCAATTTCAACTTCACAACGAAGGATATTGGACTCCAGACAACGCAAGTTCAACTTCACGATGAAGGGACCGCTGGTTGTCAACAAATATTTCTCAGATTCAGAGTCAATTTCAACTTCACAGTGAAGGATATTGGACTTGAGACAACGCAAGTTCAACTTCACGACGAAGGGATCGCTGGTTGTCACCAAACATTTCTCCAATTCAGAGCCAATTTCAAAACGAAAGATATTGGACTCCAGACAACGCAAGTTCAACTTCACGATGAAGGGACCGCTGGTTGTCATCAAACATTTCTCCAATTTAGAGCCAATTTCAACTTCACAACGAAGGATATTGGACTCCAGACAATGCAAGTTCAACTTCACGACGAAGGGACCGCTGGTTGTCATCAAACATTTCTCCAATTTAGAGCCAATTTCAACTTCACAACGAAGGATATTGGACTCCAGACAACGCAAGTTCAACTTCATGACGAAGGGACCGCTGGTTGTCAACAAAATTTCCCAGTTTAAAGACAGCACAAGTTCAACTTCACAACGAAGGGGCCGCTGGCTGTCAACAAACAATTTCCCAATCCAATTTCAACTTCACAGAAAATGATATTGGACTCGAGACAGCTCAAGTTCAACTTCACAACGAAGGGGCCGCTGGCTGTCAACAAACAACTTCCCAATTTCAGAGCCAATTTCAACTTCACAGCGAAGGATATTGGACTCGAGACAACGCAAGTTCAACTTCACAACGAAGGGGCCGCTGGTTGTCAACAAACACTTTCCAAGTTTCAGAGTCAATTTCAACTTCACAGCGAAGGATATTGGCCTCGAAGCAACACAACTTGCATTGGATTTCAACCTCACGACGGGGGATATCCAATTCTCAGGCTCAACTTCACGACGAATGAGCCATATGCAATTTCAACTTCACAAACAGAATGACCCAACTTCACGATGAAGGAGTCATCTGTAACACCCTAACACCAAAGTCTTCAGGTCAAGTTTCACCTTCTCGACGAAGTATCTTGAGCCAGAAGACGATTCAGAGGCCACTTGCCAACAACTCTGAGTTTGATTTCAACTTCACGACGAAGGATTTCGTACTCAGAATTTTCCTAGTTTTGACTCAACCTCACGACGAGGGAGTCATTTCGTATTGACAAACCAGCTCTACGACAGAGGATGTTCGACCTTGTTAAAATTTGTGTCTTTTAATCTTTGCTCCATTTTCGTTACACGATAATGAGCAAAGAGGGGCAGCTGAAGACACCAAATTTTGACCAATTAATATTATATACAATAATGTTTACATCAGATTGGTAGCCCAGTAGTGACTAGTAACACGTGGCCCAACAATGGCCCGAAGTGAAGCACTTGAACCGGTCTGCTTGTATTTCCGTCTGAACCGGGTCCAAATTGAACCGTTGAACTAGGGTTTGGAAACCCTAGTTCCTCCTCTCTTTGTCTCCTGACTGAGCACCGCAGCCCCAACCTTCCAAAGGTCCCACGACCAAATTCCTCGATCAACAGCCCCCACGAGTCTTCGCCATACACGCCTCTATCCCATGCTTCTCGGCAACAGACCACCATCGTGGATGTTTAGGACACCAAAATAGCAAATAACAAGTGTTTTAGTCCAAGCAAACCTCTGAAAATTCGGAACTAGAGATAGCATTATTATGTGTATAAATACCCATGTAATCAAGAAAATGGGGAGGACACGACTTGTACACAAACACCACAAATCTACAGCAAATATAGAGAAACAAGCCGAATCTTTGTACAACGTTTGAAAAGAAATAAAGGTAGCGTTTTTACCTTATTTTGTTCGTTCTTGGTTACTTGCATGCGTAGTTACTTGCATTTTGTGCTTGAAAACCCCAAAGAAAAACGTTTTGGCCGATGACAGAGGGGTGGATCTTTTGAACTTTCGACCTTCGATCTACACCCGGAGGCTTGTTTTCCTAAAAAACTATTCGGAAATTCAAAGTGGGGAAGGGAAAAGCTCTTAAAAAATGAAATGTTTTTTGGATTTGCCGCCGATGAACGGCGACCGTCGCCGTTCAACGGCGGCGGCGAGGCGGAGCAAGGGTGGCCGGATTCTGGGCTGCTCATCATGTTCATCAGTTTGATGAACAGATCAGAGGAAATAAGAAAATGGGGGGGGGTTCGGCTGATGAGGAGAGAACAAATGAAGTTTTCTTAAAAATTTTAAGTTATATACTCGGCCCACGAAGACCCGCGTGACCCGACCCGCAACAGCCTATACCCGCGTGTTTTTTGAAATGGGGTAAACTGCGCCTTTTGACCCTACCGTTTCCATAACTTCTATTTTAGTCCCCAAATCCGATTCTTAAATCCGATTTCCTTTTGATTTCGACCCTGAATTAAGATTTTCTTTTAATTTAGTCCTTTTCGGGATTTTAATTCTAATTTTTTATTTATATATTTTATAGTATATTAGTTTTTTATTTTATTTTTACATATATGTGTTATTAGTATTTTATTATTTATTTTATTTATTTATTATATATATCTATATGCATGTATATATTGTATTTTTTTTTACAAGTTAATATTTATATATATATATATATATATATATATTTATCTTCTTTCCCTCGATTTATTTTACTTTTATTTTATGTTTATTTCTTGTTATTTAATTTTTTTGTCGTATTTTATTTTTTACATTTGTTTCTTTATTTATGTTATTCTCTTTCGTCTTTATTTTTTCATTTCAGTTTTATTATCTCAATGTTGGTCATGTCGTTTGCTTTTTGTCCTTATTTTATATGTTGTTAGTTTTTTTCTTTATTTTATTTTCAATTTATTTTCGTCACCTTTATTTTTCTAACGTTTTTCCTTGATTCCGTAAGAGTACGTTTTCAAAAAACAATTAAAGGTAAGTTTTGGATCGTTATTTTAACTTTTAATTTAAATTTACAATTTCCTTAGTTAAGACAACTGGAAATTATGTAGTACCGAAATGGCAGTTCAAGGGTGCTAACCCTTCCTTGACTGTAACCGACTCCCGAATCCGACACATCTTTGGTAAGACGCAGATCAGGTAAATTATAAGGTATCCGGTCAACCCATTTATTTTTAAATAAATGATCGGTGGTGACTCCAATCCGTTTAATCCAAGTCGAAGCCCAATTTCGGGGCCCAACCGAAAGACGGTTGCGACATCAATATTGCTAAATGTTCTATTTAAGTCTTAACCAAGTTTTACTTTTACCTAAAGATATATTTTAATATAATATTTAAATTATTTAAACCACGCTTCATCTATCAATTAAAAAATAATACATGTTCTAAACTTATACTTTTTTTAATATTATAATAATGATCCTATTAATTAAGCTAAAACTAAATTGAAACATTTAAAGATATTCTTTTAATATATTATTAGTTTGGTCTGAAATTTTAATTGATTCATCACGTTAACCCCACTCATGAAAGGACAGTCGGACAATCAATGATTTAAATCAATTATTACACAGCACAAAGCAAAGCATAATTATTCATATTTATTTGTACAATTAATCTAATAATTAGGTCCATGCATTTAATAATAATAATAGTTCCAACACACCCACTCAAAACAAAGCTAACATTATTCATTGTTACCCCACATTCCACTATACGCCAATCATCCTACATGCTCTTTCTCTAATTCATTCTTATCCAATTTTTCCAATAATTATTATAATTTTCATAAAATATAGTATATGTCATTATCTTTTTCATTTCATCGCAACGGCAATTGCTAAGATGAAAAGGACATTGTATAATATATTACTCATAAACTTTAATGGCCTCCTTTCGGTGCCTCAATTTGTTTCTTCCTTTATTATTAAGTAAAATAATTACTTTTCTCCTTTCCCTGTTTCACACTAGGAGTCGGTCCCTGCATCACAGGGTTTTTCAACCTTTTTGCTTGTCTCTTTGCCACTTTCTCCGTATTAAAAACGAATCAATTTATTGGTTTAGGTAATTCAAATATTATACTCTAATTATGGTTATAATTTTGAAAATACTTAATATTTCATATTTTTTAAAAATATATATTTAATATTTTAATTAATTACATTTATTTTTTCATACAATAATGTGAACTGACCTTTCAAGTCTCAACTATGTAAAATAAAATATGTAACTATTGGTAAATATATATATATATATATATATATATATATATATTGATAAATCGGACAAAGTAAACGAAAAACACAATAATTTTAACGAGGTTCGGCAATGTACTTACGTCTTCGGTGCTTAGGCGGCGCTAGAAATTTTTTATTCAATGATAATAAGTTTATGTTACATCTCTATTTATAATAGAAAACCCTAGTATATAATTACAAAATTAACCTTGTACCGTATCGCGGGGCGCAAGCCCCGCACCCCCAACCCACATAATCGTAACCCTCTCTACAAGACTTTCTTTATAAGGACAGTTGATATTCGTTTCGCTCACTCCGCTTCATCTCTGTCCTCGTTACCGGTATATATATGAGTCATACCTTATAATATAGTTGTAATTAATGGGTTGTAAAAAATGGAAATAATGAAATTACTGTTAAAAAAAATTATCTAAAAATCCTTGATCTTTTTCTTCCTAAAAACAACCTCGGTATCGAGACCAAATGCATCAACTTTCCTCACTTCCAACAGCTCCGATTCCTTAAACAACTCCAGCAATGGCTGCACGCTATACAGATCATTGGCCGAGAACTTATCCGTCTGTCGTCTCACCGCTACATGTAGGACACAAACCCCTCCGGACTTCAACGTCCGTTCGATCTCCCCAACGAAATTCCACGGGTACAGCGCGTGATCGAAGACGTTGGAGAACTCGAAGTCAAATGTCTGATTCTTGAATGGCTGCGCATGGAAATCTCCTTTCATTACGAGCGGAGGGTACGGCACCAAATCTATGCCGACCGCATCCGACACTCCCACCACCTTCATCGCCGCCACTTCTTGTCCGACTCTAGCTCCTATAGACAAGGCCTTCGACTCGTTGAAAATGAGCTTTCTGTGCTTTAAGCTCTGGAAAACACGGGAGAAGACCTTGACTTTTCTATCCCAATCCCGCGTCGTCCATATCTTTCGGAGCTTTGGGTTAAGGGTTTTGTTGAGCTGACGCTCAATGTATGCGTTGTAGGAGGTATATCCCCCTCGGATATGGAGACCCGATGCGCCGCTGGAAGGTGGATTGGAAGCGGTCTGAAGGGCGGTTTTGAGGCGGAGGAGAGGGCATTGAGTGGCTAAAAAGACTAGGAAAAAGATGGAGAGAAAGAGAGAAAGAAGGAAAGGTTTAAGGAGGAGGGGGAGTTTGGACAAAGAGGATGGATTCATGGTTTACATAAAGGGAAACAATGAAAATGGAAGGATTTGTTCTGCTTTCGTAGGCTCGTAGCTTCTTGATGACCTAAAGGAGGAAGAAGAAAACCATGAAGAAGAAAAGAGGTCGGGTTTGTCATGCATGGTTTAAGGGGCAAAGATTTATTTTTCTTAACAATTTGGAACGCGTATTGTGGCCCAAATAATTGATCCTAACTAAATACTACTCCAAAGCTCTTAAAATCCAAGATAATATTTAATGTGAATTGTAACAATAAAATAGCATAAATATAAATTTTAAAAGAATATTAATTATTATAAAATATTAATGATATTATTAAAAATATCAATTATTGATCTATCTACATGTAGATTGTTATAAAAATTAAAAACCTAATATTTTGTATATACTAAGTTATTTCAATACGTTTCTTGTACGTGTATTTACGCGTTTAATTATGTTTTTATTTAATTAAGTATATACAGATTCTGAGAGTCGATGGGATCGTCCTGAAAGAGGATGAGGACAAAAGGGCAGTTGAGAAGGAAAAAGAGAAAAAGAAAAGAAAAAAAGAAAAAGAAGATTAGAAGAGTGGAGAGATGGCACCAATATCCATGCATAGTTGTTGCATCATTTGTATATACTAATTAAATATGTTTTAATATACAAAAGGTGCTTAATGTATGTTCATTTTTTAGTCTAGTATCTAATATTTTTTTTGTTATAGTTTGGTGTCTAACGTTTCATTCCATTACTCAAAATGGATTATGCCGTGACGGACTGTTAGTTTTCTCCGTTAAGTGACACGTGTCATAATATGATAATTTAAAAAAATATTAAAAATATTATTATATTTATTAAAAAACCCTTATTTCTTTTAAATTATAAAAAAACCTAAATCCTAACACCGAAGTTTACCCACGACGACTACGACGTGACCCACCGGTTGGGTTTTGAGCGGACGACGACGAGGAATCTAAATATAGTGGTGGTGAGATGAATTGAGGTCTGAGGCGGCCGAAATCGTCCAAAATCTGAGACGTCGGGTGGGTTTTCGACGAAACTTCAAGGGATCGATTTCGGCAAACAACGACGGCTATCCACGAATTATTTTGGGGGTTTTGATCATGGCAGCGAGGTGCTTCGATTGGGCTGGGCGGTGACAAGAACGGACGAGCTGAGGCGACGATCGACGGGGTTTAGGGGTTGAAATGAAGGTTTTCAAAGTTTTGGGATTATTTCAAAATTAATGTGTTTTTTATTTTTAAAATATATAATTTTTGGGATTTTCTCATGTTTATTGAAAGCTTGCATATTGTTTGTGTTTTTGTTCTCCTTCATGTTATTTCTTATGGGTTTGATGATTTCCCGTTTTATTTGGTTTTGACTGATTATTGATTTGTTATTATCATTGATGTTTTCCAGTGAGAGCTCTGTGGGTTCTGGTGAGAGGCGGGGTAAGAACTTAGAATGAGGGGTTGTTCAAATGAGAAAAATCCTAAAATTTATATATTTTTTAAAATAAAAAACACATTAATTTCGAAATAATCTCAAAACTTTGAAAACCTTCATTTCAACCCCTAAACCCACCCACATCGACCGCTGCCGCCGTTCTTCCGTTCTTGTCACTGCCCAGCCCAATTGAAGTGCCTCGCCGCCATGATCAAAACCCCCAAAACAATTTGTAGATAGTTGTCACCGTTCGTTGGAATCGAACCTTTGAAGTTTCACCGAAAACCCCCCAGCGCCTCGGATTTTGAACGATTTCGACCGCCTCGAACCTCCGTTCGCCTCACCGCCACTATATTTAGCTTCATCGTCGCCGTTCGCTCAAAACCCAACTTGTGAGTCACGTCGTAGTCACCATCCGTCGTCGTGGGTAAGCTTTGGTGTTAGGATTTGAGTTTTTTTGTAATTTAAAAGAAATAAGAGTTTTTTATAAATATAATAATATTTAAATATTTATTTTTAAAAAGAAAATTTTAAAATTACCATATTGTAACACATGTCACTTAACGGAGAAAACTAACTATCCGTCAAGGCGTGACCCATTTTATGTAATGGAATGAAACGTTAGATACCAAACTGAAACGAAAAAAACATTAGACACTAAACTGAAAAAACAGACATACGTTGGACACCTTTTGTATATTAAAGCCTACTTAAATACCATTGAACTATTAAGTAATGCATCAGTTGTATTATTAAAATCTCAATCGCTTCTATTATAATATTACATTTTAGTTTTGACTTCAATTATGTTATTGAGTATTTAAATTTTAACGTCACGATGATATGAATGATTTTTTTTTGTCATTATGATGACATGGATAAAATGATATCGTTTTAATGTGGCTATTGATATCTATAATGATGTCGTTTTATGTATTGAACTTTATGGGTGTATCGACTGTCACTAAACTTTAAAAAGGTTTAGTTTTAGGTATTAAACGTTTTTGGTCATCGTTGGCAGCCAACCTTCGTCCGTCACCGGTTTTGTAGCAAGTTCTCTGAGCACATCTTTGATGTTCATTCGTTCACTACGAGAATCAGCTGAGCAGGACACTCCTATACTAAGCACTAAGCCCAAGCATTTCACAATGTTGTCGATGCCTCTACTGCTTTGGCCATTTCGATTGAAGGGTGTTTCATCTTCAAAATTGAGCCTAGTATCAACTATCTCCACCACATCATCAGGTATGGCCGTCTTTACATACTCACATAGGCTCAACTCTCCCGTAAACATACTGTCGGTTGATTTTTGCCGGTAAACAACTCCATTAAAAAGATGCCATAGCTATACACGTCGCCGTGTGTGGATATTTTCTTTCCCATTCCATATTTTGCATTTCCAGACAAAATCATTGAGATGAATATCACTATATCAAATTTAAGAAAATGAATTTGATTTGATAATGTGGTGGAACGGAATTGCCTGAAGGAATATATCCCATGGTTCCTCTTATTCCCACCGAACTACTTTGCTTGGAAATAGATTGATCAGTTGTCTCTGAAAGAAACCTTGTTAGGCCAAAATCACTAATGTTTGATGTAAGATCAGCATCAAGAAGAACGTTGCTCGGGTTCAGATCACAATGGATGACCGGCCTGTCGAATTAGGAATGAAGATAATCCAATGCAGAGGCTACATCAATGGCAATGTTGAGCTGCTGAATTAGATTTAATCTTGGTGAATTGTGTACCTCGGTTAAACTTGGATGTAACCAAGTTTCTAAGCTCCCATTCAGCATGAACTCGAACACTAAGGCTTTGAAGTAAGGCCTTGAAAATCAATACTTGAGCAAAAAGTAATGACCTTGACAAGATTTCAATGCCTAAGCTTCCTAAGGGCTTCACATTCAGCCTTGAAAGTTCGGTCGGCTCCCTGCCGTTGAAGATTAAGTACTTTAACAGCAATTGTTGTTTGATCATCAGAACTTAGAATCCCTTTATAGACTGAACCATATCTCCCCATACCAATTAAGTTGGTGGAAGAGAAATCGTCTGTCGCACGGAGGAGCTCAGCGTAGGAAAGTTTCAGATGTTTATTGTCTAATGGGCTGGAAATGCCCTCTCTCTTTTTTGACGAGCTAACCCGTCGTTTGATTGCGAAGAGACATATCATGATTACGACAACAAAGAAAACAATACTGGTCAGAATTATCGCTAAACGTTGGAAGTTTTTCCTTTTCTTTGCAATTTCTATAGGACAAGTAGGCAATTGAAGTGGCTTAGTCCCTCCGCATAACTTGAGGAAACTTAATCATTGGAACTCTCAAGTAAGTTGCCTCCAAAGTTTAAGATTCTTAGACTTTTAAGGCTTCCCAAATTCTTTGGTATTAGTCCCATCAAAAAATTGTCAGCCATATCAAGGTCCATGAGCCCCGAGGAATTGACTATTGATGTTGGAATTGGCCCTGAAAAATTATTTCCGCCAAGATAAATGCCCTCAAGATTAGGGAGGCTCAAGCCTATGTACTGAGGGATCTGGCCTTGTAACCGGTTAGCAGCTAAAGAAAAGGCATTAATGGATGAGATGTTATACAGTTGTTTAGGAACTGTACCAGAGAGCTCGTTTGAAGACTACTGAAGAAATGTCAATCTCGAGAGTCGCCCGAGCTCCGTAGGAATGTTTCCTTTGAGGTGGTTCTGCATCAGGGAAAGATGAAGGAGAGAAGAGATGTTCCCTAATGAAGGGGGAATTGTTCCTATGAAGTTGTTATCGGCTAGTTGAAGAGTTTGGAGCCTAGACAAAGAACCGAGCTCGGCAGTTATTTCCCCTTCAAGCGAATTTCCCGCTAAGTCGACGACTTTTAGGCTCGAACAACAACTAAGGTTTCTCAGAAGTTCACCTTGGAAGGAGTTGTTGATGAGGCTCAATTTCTCTAGACGATGCAAATGAGTAACTTCTTGGGGGACCCGACCACGAAAGCTATTGTTCCTAAGGTTGATCACCCTAAGGAACGTAAGGTTGGCTATGTAAGGAGAAATGTCTCCTACCAATTTGAGTGATGATAGATGCAGGGAAGTCACTCTTCGATGTCGTCGATCGCATTTTACTCCTTACCAGTTGCAGAAATGTCGAGAATCATTCCAAGAGCCGAACATGCCGTAAGGATCGACTAGTATTCGAGCCTTGAAGGTAAGCAATGCTTGTATTTCAGTCTCATTCCTTGTTGTACTGGATTCAACATGATCCAGCTTAGAAAGAATACAAAAGATGAAAAGAGAGAAACTAAGTAACTTTGATATCATGGTATCAGTAGGCAACTTCAAATGCCAATGCCCATCCATCGGTATTTGGTCCCTTTTAAAAGGCCATTACAGTGCCTCCAAACATTTCAGGACATAATTACTTGTAAGTGTCAATCTGCCTAAATTGAAAAGTTTTCCGACCATTTAATCATCACTTTTTTCAAGCTCCAACAATCAATTATATGAAATTGAAAGAAAAATGGTATAAAAAAGCTACATGTTTTGCAACCTCCAATGTTGTTGATCCTCTTGTCTCGCCCCCATCATAACAATATAGTTGGTCTCATCATGGACTTAAAAGATAAAATTATTTAGGGTAAACTATTTATTTGATCATCCAGCTATTTCTTAGTTTCTGTTTTGGTCATTTAATTATTATTATTTTTCCAAAA